GTGGTAGCTGCTGCCTCAGAACTTTTCCACTAGCTGTTCCCTCTGCCTAGAACACCCTCCCCTCAGGCCCGTTCACAGCTCCTCACAGGCCACTGCCTCAGAGGCCTCCCAGCCCAGACTAGCCGATGGATACCCTCACTCACACCTCCAAGCTCCACTGGCAGAGGTTTGAGACCACTAGAGTGACTTGCATGTGAAAACACACAGTAGATGCTCAGAAATGTGGAGGTGACAGCACCTTGCCTGAAGGCAGAGTGGAGAGTGGGTCCGATGGAATGTTTGGTATCATCATCATGAACGGGAATGATTATGAAGGGGACGAGACTTTGTAAGAGGCAAGAAGCAGGCTGCATTTGCAAAGCAGTGACACCATTTTTGTTGGCCCTGCGTGTGAACCTCCTGATACTCTCTCTTCCCCGCGCCTCCCTCCACAGTCCCTGCAGCAGCTCAGAGAGGCCAGAGACTCTCCGTTGTCGGAGTAGGAAATGTCTGGCCCACAGCTTAACGTCTCACTTTCATCAGTACTAGCTAACATCACCACTCCTCACCACACGTGAGGGGTGAGTCAATTAAACGGCTGACCAAAGACAGCAAGCTAATTTTAAACTTGATCATTTTGTCTAGCTTGTGAATGATGTCATCCACACCCAAGTGACCCTTGGCAGCAGACAGGTTCCGGCCCTGCTCTACGGCCTTGTGTCGTAGAGAAGGCTTGTCCTGTCATTAGCTCTTACTCAGAGCTGTGTGGCCAGACCTGGGCTGGCTCTAGTGCTTTTAAAGAAACATGGTCTCCCTGTCGCCTGACCTGGCACTCTTTTTTCTTCTCCCATGTAGCTCCAGCCCCGCCCTAGATGTAAGAAGGATACAGCTTCATATCAAAACCCATAGGCCTTCAGGGCTCCCTCCACCAGCTGTGACTCTCTATCACTGGCCTGTCTCAGGAGTGCTTGCGAAGCCCTGATACGTGACTTCAGCAATCGCCTGATTGATCCTGCCCGTGCCTTCATTCTCAGCCCCAATGACATATGCATCACTTGTTTCTACCTGCGGTTATGTGCCCTTCATCCCTCAGCCACCCCATCAGTCCATACCCCGTGTGGTGCCCCCTCCCCGCCTCTAGCGCCCATCCATAGGCACCTAGTACTGAGCAGAGAGCTGCCCTGGGTTCTTGGGTGTCTTGGTGTTCCTGGCCCTTGTCTGCCCCCTGGTGGTTACGCTGGGCATTGCCCTACTGACACATACTGGTATTATTCCAACCCATGGAAACGAATTAGACCCTTTTTCAAAACTGCAGGTTTGGACAGAAGAGTCTGGGCACCTAAACAGGAGCTGCTGTGGGAAGTGGATTCGAATTCTGAAGTTTCTAATATCCCCACCATTGTGAGATGATGAGTACATAGATAATGGGGCGAAAGGCAAGAAACAGAGGGAGTGTTCAGGGGAGAGGCTATGCTCCTCCATGCAAAATAGCCGCCCGCAACCCCTGTCCTGAGAAAGTGTCAGCCACACCCAAAGCTGCTTCTGTGAGGCCTGGTCATCCCACAGTCACTCTCAGTCTGGTTGTTGGCTTGTCCCTAGGCATTGGCTCAGTCCTGGGCCTAGGCACTTCCAGACCAGCACTTTACACCTAGAAGTGTGTCAATCCCTGCCAGTACCATCTACGGTGTAAGGGATCAGGTGGCAGGTGGTCCCCAAACTGCCAGACCTGTGCTTAAACCTGCCACTGATATACCAGCAAAGGGACTCAAGGGGAGTCGGCCCCTCTTCAGAACCTTGTTCTCAGCATGTGGATTGAAATGGCACCTTCCTCTTGAGTTGGAATTGGTCTCGGTGGGAGGCTCCATGGATGGTATTCAACCTATTGTTGGAGTTCAGCTGAACTTCAGAGACCTGGGTAATAGAGTGTTCACTTGTGCCGGGTTAATTGCACAGGCCCCTGACTGAACGTTGTTAGGGGACATCTCCAGAATCCGAGGCTTACCATAAAAGTTCAGTTTTACTATTGCAAAGTCTGCTGTTGGTCAAGTCTAGGGCAGAGTTCCTATTCAAGGGTCCGAGTTGTTGCTCCCAAGACCGCCAGGGCTGTCACCTGGGGGAAGGTAGAGCTGGATGGTGGCATACTAGCTCTTGAATGTCCCAGGTTCTCACAGCTCATTGGTTAGAACTAGCCATTACTATCTAAGGACCGGTGCAGGGTTGAGCAATGATGGTGTGGTGGTTAAGGTTGTATGTCAACTTGACGGAGCCAATTCTTAGTGGGTTGACAGAGATCTCATATGATGGGATCACCTTCATGATGAGATCTGTTATGAGCAGCCAATCAATTGAGTTTCTCCCTGGGGATATATCCTGCCTCCATTTTATGTGAATGCTCGTCTTTTTCCTGGGACTGAAATCTAGCCCATCATCTGACTTCTAGTTCTTCGGCCTTGAGCCAACAACTTGCCCTATTGCCTGCTGATCCTGGGAGTTGTCCGTAGCCTAACATTTTATCTGCTAACCTTTGATTGATTTTCCTTTAAAGTCAGTAGCATGCCATCTGATTTGTCCATCTTGGGTTCATCAATCCTTGCAGCTATGTGAGTCAGGAGGCTTGCTCTCTCTCTCTCTCTCTCTC